AATAATATATATATATATATATATATATATATATATATATAACATAATGTGATATAAGTAATGTGCTATTAAATCAAATAAATATTTAAACTGATAAATGTAAACATTAATGTTTTGGCGTCATTACAATTATATTTACTATTATTATTTTTAGATATGCTTAAAATTTAAATTTTTTTTAAAATTATAATAACGTATTGTGAATTTAAAAACAAGAAACAAATATACTCTTACGTTTTTTCTTACGTAATTATTTTCACAATATTAATTAATCTATTTTGATATAGTTTAAAAAATATAAAATATTAAACATTTAATAAAGATATTAAATACATTGTTAGAATTAGCAACCTTTTTAATGTTAGTAAATAAAAAATAGTACATTAGTGCGAATAGTAACATTGAGACGAAAGCATAGTAGACACGTGGCATATTACATATCTATCTGGTCACGTATTGATTCATCATGCGTATATATACCGTCGCCATGTTGGATACTAAGCCAACGACAACTCCGATCCGTTTCTCTGCTTTTATTTCACAAATTTTGTCATTTGGAATCGTATTAATTCGTGTGCTTAAATAGCAATGGAGATATGGTAAATATATTTATTAATGGAAATAATAATTACAACAAATAAGTTATGAATTATATTGATTAAAAAATATCCTATTTACACTTATGGAAGTAGAAAGTAAAGATTATTTTTTATATATTTTATCCTTTAAAATAACAATTATTTATTTGAAATTATTAATAAAATATATATGTTATATATATATATATATATAAATCAATATATAATTTTATATTTTTAGAGCGAGAGAAGAGTATAAAACACGGAGAGAGCCCTGTGGAGCCAATAAGCAGCTGCAGGGATGAGCATGGCTTTGTGCCAACAGTGGGCCGTTGGGGAAGTGAATGGCCAAGTTGACTCGAGACAGCAGAAACATGGTGCCAGCCACAAGGGCAGGCACGAGGGCCCTGGATCAGGGGTGTGCCGTTACCCTTGCCGGTATGGGCCCATTATGAGGCACCAGCCTTGACCGTTTTAACGGTCGAACAATATGAGGAACTAGCAGGCAGCGTTGAATTAGAAACGCAGCATTTACTGCGTGAGCATCGCTATGATACCATTGGCAATTCCTTAAGTAATTGTCATAATATATGTTTTATAAGTTTATGTTAATATTATTATAAGACAATTATTATAATAATTTGTTTTGCAATTAATAGGTTTTATAAGGACTATATTGCAAGTGGAGAAACTGTTTTGGAGAGATTCTATCATAAATATCAACCATTGATAACACGTGAACATCATACTTGTGTGGGTCTAGGATTTGAATTACTATACCGTTTAAAATGTTTGAATAAAAGATTTCCTGGCATAGCAAGTGGTTTCTATTTAGTGTCTTGTGAAGAGGTATATTTATAATTCTTAATTATATTATAATTTAAATTTAAAGTAATTAAAAATTTTATAATTTTTTTATAAATTTCTTTGTTATGCAGACGATCGATAATGTTGCTAATTATGTTGGAGGACCACCTGCTGCAGATAGTGGTGAAAAAGAACATGTATTAGTGTGCCTGAAAATTAAAATTGGCGGACGACAAGGAGTTATGCTACTTGATCCTGGATATCATGTAGCTCGAGTAATTACTATAATGGAGGATAAATTATATCCACATACAGGCTGGTTTATTCAATCTGATGAACCAGATTGTAAAAAAGAATATAATTACTTTTTATGCAGTAACGATCCTGATTATATTGAATGGCATGAAAGAAAAACACGATCTGATACTTTAGAAAGAACACAAGTTGCTCTTATATATGTGGCAAGGCCTTATTTAACTGCCATTGATGTTACGGAACGCAGAAATTTAGTTTATAACTTCAGAAGTCTTCTTGCAAGAGATACTAAAGGTCATGTTACAGCTGGTTTATATTTTCCTGTTGTGCTGGATATAAACAATGCACAAAGTTTTACAATTTTTTATCAAACTAATAGTGGCAAAAGACGAATCAAAATGGCATTTAATAAATTCTGCAGTTCACCAAAAGTATGTTTTTATTTATAAAAATTAATATTAAATAATTGTAAATAATTAGTGTTGTTAAATAATAATATATTTTGTTTAGATAAATCCTGATACTGAAGAAAAAGAAATTATCGCCGAATGTGCCCGGCAGTTAGGTCTTTTACAAGATTCCTTAGAAGATCTGCTATCTGCTCTTGCTACAGTTATGAGCGATTCAGCCTTTGTGGCTCAATTACTGGCTATTAATGCAAGAATCAACAGTTTGGCAGAGGACAATTAACACAAGTCAATCTGCCCTGTGCGGTGCAGACAATATATAATATATCATTTCTTTTGTCAGCTTTTCTCTTATGTTTTTTTTGTTTTATTGGTAATTATGTTAATAGTTTTATTATGTATTACAGATGTTAATTTTATTCTTGTTATAAAATAAGGTATATTTTTTTAATGAATTTTAATAAAATTATATTTTACATATTATTGTTAATAATTCAATGAAAACGTTAATTAATTGCATTATATAATTTTAAAATTATTTTTAGAATTTAGTAATAGCATATACATTCATATATCATTCTTTATTATTATTTACATAAATATTTAATTGTAGATGATTTTAAAATCTTAGAAAAATAAATGTTTTCATTGAAACATTATTAAGTAAAATTAATTTCTATTTAAAAGAAAATTATGAAAAGAGGTACTATGAATGGCTTATATTTTTTTTGTTTTTAATATAAAGAAATGAATTAAGTTATACTAAATCTATAATTTTTATTGAAATAAATAATGACAAAAATTATTACATTAAATTGTATATTCATTGATAAATATACTATCCCAAAATATGTTTATTTTTATTTAAAATTGAAAATGTATTAACATATTGAAATTTGAATGATTTATTATATGTATTAATATTTGAAATTTCAATGATTTATTAATATTAAAAGTATAATTAAAATTTGAACATCATTTAAATATAGTTTTTTAGATGAAATATATTTTTCATAAATTGAATTGTTTTTAAATAATGTAAATGTTTTTTATTATGTATAGATATATTTAAAATAAAGTTAAATATTTTCTGATATTACTCATATTTTTCATATATGTTAATGCATATTATTTTATATGTTTTCATATATGTTATTTATTTAAAAAGATTCAAGAAAATAATATATTTATATGTAAAATAAAAAATAACCAATATAATTTCAATAAAATACTTATATAAATATAGAAAATATTTTTTAAACTTTAATTTTAAGAAAAAAACGTTAAAAAATTTAAAAAACATAATAAAATTCATCTAAATCTATAAAAATATAACAAGAAATTATTTGAAATTATTTAAAATTAATGATTTTACCGATTAAAGCATCTGGATTTTATCAAAGTTCTATAGCATAGTTTAAATTTAAATAATTAAATACAAAGTCTATATATTACTATGAAATATAATGACACTTTTTGCAAACTTCAACATCCGCATTTTCGGTTTCTTATTATAATCAACTGCTAATGTAGATTTGAATACAACTGGATGAATTCAAACTGTAAACATAAAAATATTAAATCATAATATATTTGTTGATGTTATTAAAATTAATTTTATAATATGTAATTACATATAAAATATGTAAAATATGAAAATAAAAATATGATAAAATTTATTAAAAAGTCTGCATATTAATAAAATTTTTAAAAATATTTTTACAAAAATAAAAAGATTTTTGAATTAACATCATTAAAAATTAAAAATGAAATAGTATAATATTGAAAAAAATATATAAAATGAATTACAGAAAAATTGAAACATAAAAATATAAATTTTAAATAAAATGCATACTTACATTGCATATGTGTCATTGTGTACTATGGTTTTTATTTTATTAATATTTGCGGTTGTACCTGCAATATATAATATATAATATATAATATATATATATATATATATATATATATTCTATACAAATTTTAAAAGTAACATAATAAATAATATATTATAAACAAATATTATAATAGATAAATTTTATAGTCTTATACATAAAAAAATAGTAAAAAGCAAAAATGTATACATAATAT